AAAGTGTGAAGTAGTCTACACCTTTATCTCTACTATACATATCTTGTCATTAGTAATCATGTGCTACATTTCCTTTAGCGGAATTAATTCACTCGATATGTGAGAGTCTGAAATGTTTACATCAAGGAAAAAAACAGAGATTCTCTCATGCTTCATGAGTTTTCACAATATTTTGGAAAGATAGATACGAGTAAATTGGTACAGGGAATCTTAGACAATTTCTTAGAATTAATATGAAAAGATTTTAATATAAAAAGTTTCATAGATTGTCAAAGACTGCTAAAATCAAATCCCTCGTTTCTTTTCCTAAATCTATCTGTATAGTAATATCATACTTTGCTGTTAAAATATCAGTAATATGAACGATGGATGGATATCTCCGGTCGTCGGGTCCAATAAACTAGCATTAAAATTATATTAAGCGGAAAAGTTCAAAACGCATCCGTACATATGTGTTTCGTTCTCCAAAGGTTAATACCACACTAGAAAGTGAAAATCTTTTATCAAATAATTGAAATGATTTCTATATTTATAAATCCAAAGCAACACAAAAATTAACAATACCTACTTGAATATTAGTATAGAATCAAAAATATGATCGATTATTTGACCGTTTGCAGCATACAAATATGTTATTCAGAATTATGGAATCAAAATGATATGAGAGTATACAAGCGATTCAGCAATATATCTTACATCGACGTTATATTTTTGAAGTACTTGGATTATAGAATCAAGTGCTAAAACTTAATGGTTTTGAAAGAACATTGAAAATGAATTTATTCTTACTAGTGACTCTACATTTAATTGGAGTGAAATGATATCTCTATAGAATTCTCGAACAAACACTTGAAAAGAAATCTCATTTCGTTTAGTCTTCAAAATAACTAATATGAATAAATTGCTTGGATACATAGAAAAGAAGTGTCCGAATAGGGAAAGCTAGCAGACAATTCCACTTACTACTTATATAAATTTATAAACTGTTGAATACAGCTCAAAATTATGCAATCATAGTTGCGCAAATCAAGAGAAAATTTTATACTCAAACGAATTTTCATGGATTTAACGAAAAATTCAAATTTTCTCTTTATGGGTCATATTGAATAATTCAGTTTTCTTTTCGCAATATGATCAGCTTGGATCAAACCTGAGTATAGTTTGGCCAAAGCCGGCTAAATATTAATCATAAATGTAAAAAATATTGTCGTAATAATAGTATATTAAAGCATTACTCATGTGGTCAGTCTAGTACGCCGTAATATTTCACACTATTTTCAAAACGTATCGATACTCTTACTATAACGAAAAAAGTCTCCAAGTCTCAGTCAACACAGGACACGTACATAAGTCAATTTTTTGCGAGATCACATATGATGAAATAAGTAGAAAATGAATAGCTAAAGTATGACATGAAAATGTCTTCAATATAGCACAAAAATATTCATCATGATGAGATTTATTGTTATGAATGCGGCCAAGAATGACATGTTGAATTATAAAAGACAGTGAATTGATGTGTAGTGGCATACACCTTCGGTTCTTTGTGAAATCATGATTTTAAAAAGTAGGAAAACATTCAAATTAATTATTCTCAAATCTTTGTCATATGGTTTGTATTAAAAAATACTTGAAGTGCTTAACAGCTTGCGTCACGAGTGAGCTATGAAAATTTCTTCACATAATTAGTTTTGACGAGCTGTCAAAACACATTTATTACGAATGAATATGTAATGAAGTTTTCAAATAAAAGACACAGAATCTATCTGACAAAAGAAAAAGAGACACTTCAAAAAAAAAAAAAGAAAAATAATTTTCATTTTTATACGTTGCAGTAATATTTAATAATAAAGTTAACATGTGTTTTTTTTATTCGTTTCGTGACAGCTGGAAATTGGAGTTCAATAGAGCGTTCTTTATAAACAAAAGCAATTTTCTCCTTCATGAACTATTATGCTCATGAACAAATAAAATCTATACTTTTTTTATTGACTGGATTATTTCTCATACGGGTAGTTCACTACACGTGCTGCAACTGTTTATCAATTGTCTTGATTGCTTATCGAGTTTGACTTTCTCTAATTACTTGAAAACATGACAAAGATTGGAAACTGAGACTTGATATTATATTACTGTAACTAAACGAATTGAATAAAATAACAAAATCACTAGCATACATGCATACATATTTGATCGTAATCTATTACTATTTTCTACATGAATATAAAACACTTTCTATATAATAATATCATAAAGTGAAATTCATTTTAATCATGAATCCGAATATTAATGATTAAAACTAAATTGATATAGTTGATGCCTTTGTTAATATGATGAGCTGACTTCAATCATAATTCACATCCTTTACATATTTTTCAGTAGAAAACAATTCAAACAGCAATTCTTTGGTTATCATTTATGTATCATAGAAAATAAAGCGTTTTGACAAATCTTTAAAATCAGTGAGTACTCAAGCAGATACTTCATACAGTCAATTATTAGGAATAATTTTGACGTCAATGATGTACCAATAGATGAGCCTCTCAACGATTGAACTTCCAACATTTGAGCTTAACATAAGGAATAAATTAAAGAAATACAAGAAAAAATAGTTTTATTTGAATAAGTTCATGACTGACTCAAAATTTGAATAGTACTCTTGCTCGTTTAAATTGTAAGTCTTTGTTTAATCAAATCAAAAGTCGAAATTAGTCCTTGAAATTTTTCACTAAGAAATTCATATTTCATACATTCTTTTAGCTTTACGAGTTTCACTTGCAATAATTCAGTGATTACCAAGTTCATGTGTTGTTCTGTTTTCACACCTTTGATAGATTCATAAATTGATAAATGATTGTGTAAGTGAATACGGGATCACAGCCACATCCGTCAATATCATAAGATATCGCATGACTAAATGCATTTTTTATGTCGAACACAGCGAGCTAATATTAACTTTATGTCTTGTTTCATGAATTAACGATGGCTCATCTGTCGTATCACCCACGTCAATACCAGCTTAGCTCTTCAGTAATTTTGCATTTAGTTAAGATAATCGAGCATGCATCTTTCCATTTATTACTTCTAATTTCAGTGGATTTTTCTGCACGCTAAATAAGAAACCTAACACCCTCAATCTAGGTTTTATTAGCTTTATTCTTCGACGAAATAGAAAGTTGAATATTTGAATAGTTGTTCTTTTTTTCTTTCAATTTCATAGTAAGATAATAATAAAATATTTATAAGATAAATTGATTGTTGTTAATTATTTTATTTATATTATTCGACAAGAGTATCGTAATAGAGTTTTCTAACTCCTAAGTCTTTAGTTAAATTGTTTTAAGATTCCATTCACTTTATTTCATAAAATTTCATTAACATTTTAAAAAGAAACAATTAAAAAAGCTAGGACATGGCATGCATGTCAATGTCCTGAAAGACGCTGCGATCCATGTAATATGATAAAATTTCTGTTTTTTTTTTCTCATGAAAAGCCTCTTCTCAAATATTTTCATCTGTTTTATAAACACGACCGTTGAAAAGAACTAATGCTTTAAGATGACTCTTCAGTTTTAATAATTATTTCTTAAAAGAAAGTTTGTTTGCACTCATACAATAGTTGCATTTTTTGTTCGACATAATTTCGTATGAAATCTTCAAACTTTGAGTTATGCCAAAAATTACTTTTCTTTTAAAAATCTAAGCTAAGTACATGTTATACTTCATTAAAATATTAATTTTGATAACTTGAACCTATTTAGATTCATTTAAATCTATTTTCTATGTATATAACAGCAGCAATTCAGTTTTTTTTGTCGAAGAAAAAACCACATGGAGCACTCTCTATAAAAAATTGTCAACAGACACTGTAATAACATCACTTAATATGTCCGTATCTAGTTAGTGCTTTAATTAAATTCATGCGCGCCATTACAGATATTATATTTTAAGCTCGCTTGTCAACTTCTCTCGTGTTTTATAATTCATTATTAATCCAGTAGATTGTGTGACGCAAAAATCATCAACTTAATTTTCTATAGAGCAATAGTACTGCTTAGGCAGAATATTGAAACTCGAGAATTTGGTTCAAGAGTCACATAATGATCTAACTTAGACGATTCAGACATTTCATTTAGTTTGTATTTCTAAAAGATTTGACAAATGATATTTTATAAAATGATGTATTTATCAGTTAAATTATTCTTTCAGTTTCGTACTGATTAAAAATTATTTAAATTGTATTTTTAGATTTTCGAACAATTTTTAAAAATTAGTTTTTCCACTTGTGTTCCGATCTTTTTTTATTTGCTTAATAATTTTCTAATTTAAATATTTATTAAACATCGATCAATATAAAAATTCAAGAAATCGTTTATCCCTCTGATTTGTATGGTTTTGTTTATCAAAAATGAGTAGAGACAAAAATGGATGCAGTATAAATTCAATTTATCGTAATTAGTATGTGCACGAGCTACCGTTTCTTTCTTTTGCTATTTTCCTTCATTACTCTTCTTTTTCTTGTTGTGACTCGAAGTACACGGTGTCTTTCCGCTTTTCTTTTTTTATATTATCATCTTTTTTTTTCTTTAGTAAATGTCACTTGAGTCATTATTTTTTTGTTCTAGAAAGGAATCTTCTACTTTTTCTGACTGCATGTGTGTCGTCTTTCTGAGTTTTTTTTTCTCTTATTTCTTCTTTTCTTATTTTCTTTCTATTATAAGAGAGAAAAAAAATATATCTTAGCTTATTTTCAAAAGCACTGAGAAAAATATACGTTAAAGCTTTTCATAATATTTTATTTTTTATCTTTGATAGAAAAATAGATGAATAATTTCGAATAAAACTAGTTAGAAAATCGATTAATTGGTAAATTATGTTGAGCTTCTTGTTTTAATAAGAACTAAAAATATTTGCATCAATCATGTATTTGACGAGAATAATCAAGGAATTTTCTTTGAAGATTATCAAAATCATGTATTTTTATTGAAAAAAAAAACAAAATGCTCTTCCTTAATGGTCGAACTCGTCATACGGGAATATCGCCGATGAACGTGCGTAATGGATCCTATACACATAAATTATCTCATTTATCTGTTATTGGTGGTTCTCTTTCAATAGTAACTGGACTTATTCTTATTGTCGTTGGTGTTATATATGAAGTACAAAGTACTAAATTTATTGGTATTGGTTTAATTAGTTTTGGAGTTTTGTGTTTGCTTATGAAAATTATTCATTTCTATGGAAAATTGGATATATGTTATAATAATTGGATTTATCGAACTCGTGTTGTACCAATTAATCATGAAACTTCGCAACCAAAACCAATAGGTGCATTGTCGGTTCCCCCTCGTCCTAAATCACCTGAAACAACACCAAAACAATCATATGTAGTGCCACCTGAACCTTCAACACGTAGAACAGTAATATCTGGTATAGAAATTCATAATGTTCTAACTGAACAATCAATAAAAAACGATGTAGTAACAAATAATTCTAATACTATTACTTAACACTTGCATATGAAATATTATGCGTTCAACTATTTCTGTGTACATTTCATATTTTCCCATTTTGTACGATAGGTTTTTTTTCGTTTGCTAGCTACAAAATTTTTCTCATCAACCATTGTTTTGTTAATATATGAAGTAAGTTTAATATCAAATTTTTTTATTATTAATAGTTAATAATAAAATAAAACAGTATAAACAGTCTTTAAGTTTATTGTATTGTTAAATTTTACAATCTAACGTACAAAAACTGAAAATGATTCAATTAGTTAAGACTTTTGCTTCAATATCAATTTCAGACAACGAACATTCAAATCACATAATTCACTTGCAATATATTGAAACCGTAGCGAAACGGCTATGATAAATTTTTCATTAAAAATTTATCTAACTACGGTTAAAAATAGTTAATTTAAAATTCGGCATTTTCTGTGAGCCTTTATTCTATATATATATTATAATTCTTTGTTTTTAACAGAGCATGGCAGATTGCAAGTTCTGACACAGCCCTTATTTTATTGTTAGAGAAAACGCACAACTATTTGCGTACTGAAAACAATGTCAATTCTTTTTAGAAAATTTGCGGTATTGAACTTATCATTCTCAGTCTTTAATAAAAAAAAAATGTAAGAATATTAAGAGTCTTGTCAAGGTTTGTTATCTAACATGTTCTTTCAAACAATGGAAAAACAATATATATAAATAGAATAGAGGCCCATTGATGATGTTTGAGTTGTCATATTAACTATGTTTAACTTTTTTTAGATAAAAACTTCATGATAATCTCTTCACTAAAACTCTAATATATCCTATTTGAACTGGAGTCAGGAGCCTAAGGGCATTGCCGCTTTTCTGAGTTTCTCAAGAATGGCTCGACCAAAAATTATGAAATCTTCAGGCTAAATAGAACTCAACTAGTACAACAAAAGGTGTGATAGATTCAGAATTTCCGGATGTTTCCTTCTATGAAATATTGAAGACAAAGGGGAAAAATAGCCTAAAGTTTTCCTTTTCGCAAACAGTCAGAATTCATCTTTTTATGGTTGACTTTTTGTTATAGTAAATAAGACCGAATGGGAGTGTATATATTTTCTTAGAAAAAAAATTGTTTCCTTTGCTTACGAGAACTGAAGTACTAAAATTTCTGTCGAAAAACGTGTTTTTTTCCTAGGACAAATTTTATAAGATCTGCCAAAAATCACCAGAACATTATTTTAAGGAAAAAAGATACATTTACCCCGATTGAGTCCTATTTGTCACCCACAAAACTTGAGCTGAATCTGTCGAAATGTTCAAGAGAAAAAGAGGAATCTTATTTTTTTTATGCACAGCTATCACTTAGTACACTTATACAACGGCTACGAAGATGCATTGCTGACCCACACAACATTTTTTGATGATGAAATAACTATATTAGTATAGCCCATTTACAACAAGATAGAGCTGCAGAACGTGATTTTCGGTATTTAGAATATCTAAAGTCGGGTTTTTTCAAAGATCTGAATAAACATGAAAACTTTTCGGTCATATGCAATTTGATAAAGACCACTTGACTGTCTTCTTAGACACAAAATAGTCGAAATGGAAAAAAGTGAATTTTTTGGAATGGGAAAAAGAAGGAGGATGCTTTTAAGAGTTTCTCTAGAATAAACTCAATCTGTCGTTCGTGGTGAAAAAATTCGTTGAATGATATTTAACATTTGTTCTACAAAAAAAAAAGATTGACTTCCAAGTTTTTAAAAATTCAACGTTTTTATGTTAATTTTATAGTTGTGAACCAATCCTTAATAATGATATTATTAGTTGAAAAATCAATTTAATTTTTTTTTTGCATGTTTAAATATATTTATTTTTTATTTCAAATACAGAAAAATAAGAATTCGTCTTTTAATTGTTCTTCATATGTTTTGTTTTTGTTGAATAGACTACATTACAAGTCAATATTTTATGGTTTTGGTTTTGTTAAAAAACTTTCATGTCTTGTACATTTCCATTGAAGTAATTCTTTTGTATTCATTCGATCAATATGATCATTAAAAAATGGTCGTAATTTTAAACCATGTGCTATACCAAATAAAACACGATTACGTTCAAGATCAGCATGACTATTAGCTAATGATATACTATAAGCTTTACTTAATGATTGAATAGCTGAATCATATTGACTCTAAGAAACAAAAATAAACAAATACAAAAAGGTTTGATGATTAAAAAGTTTTAATTTTTTACTAATGTATTATGAATAAAACCAAGTGCACTACATGCTCTTGCATATTGTATATCACCTTCTTTATCGGATACTTTTTGTAAATATTTTGTTAAATATTCTGTACTTTTTTCTACATTAGCTTTTCTTAAAAGAAAACAAAGTCAAAACAAAACAATGAAAAGAATTTTCTTTTTTTCTCTAATTAAATTACTTTTGATAACAAATAGCTAATGCTTCACTTGCTTGACCAAAACCTTCATCATCATTAACATGTTGACAATAATCATAATATTTATGAAGATATTTTAATGCTGAATCAATATTTCCATGTTCTACATAAGCTTGTCCTAATTTATAACTTGTTTCATTTTCAACTTTTTTATCACCACCTATACATAGTTAAAAAAAAATAGAGTTTTTTCTTACCATTTCTTTCAAAATATTCTATTGTAATGGATGATGAGAAACTTTTTAGATCCAATATTTGTTCACTTTTAATGTATTTTCGACAATACAAAAGCTATGATTTTTTTGACTTGTTGATTATGAACTTAGAAATTTGGTTAGAGAATAGTGAAATAATCTTTGAAAAACTCAAAAAAATTAGTTCAGATAGAAAATTTTTATACTTTCACTGTTGCAATTCGTAACTAAAAGTTAGAATATTTTTTTATGTATCAGCTTGCGGATCATAATCTATTCTATTAAATGCACTATTTGAAGTTTTTCCGTCTTTTTACAAGACATTAAAGCCCATCGGATTTGGTTCCGGACTCGCTCGCCTTCATGAGTGAAATCTTTCTATTAACAGGATCCAACCATTTTAGATCGGACGAGTTCTAGCCGTCTGACAAATGTGTCCAGTGAGCTAATTATCGAATACGAAAACTCAATCTCGCATCTTCACAGCGACTATTCAATTCTGATAGTAATAAAATACGATTTGACTGGATCAGAAAAGTTGGAACCGCTGGACTCTACAAGTTATCTCAATTTTTGTTTCTCCTAAAAATTCATTTTTAAAAAGTTGACAACTGTTTTACATTGAAATAAATTCTCGGAAAATACTTAGATAAATGCTACAGCTTATTTCAATGTCATATTTCGTAAAGTGTTCTTTGAACAAAAACGAGTGACTCTAACAATTTTTCGCCTGTTCGAAAAGAGCGTTATAGGTTCAATAAAAATCTTTTAACTTAGCATGAAAAATAAATTTTTAGGTCTTTCAAAGAGTCCCACAAAAAATATACACAACATTTCTAAGTCCACAATTTCTGTCTAAACTAATTTTCTTGAGCTTTTTCAAAGATGATTTCGCTATTTTCGCATAAAATTTCTACTGTCATATGGGAAAAGTGAACAAATATCATATCTAAAAACTTTCTGATCATCCAATACTTTGTGTTGAAGCTTCATGTGCTTTAATGACATATTGAAGTGATTCATTATCAGTTCGACGTTCAGCTAATTTCATATATAAACGTGTTAATTGAAGACTGGCATCAGCTTTTAATTGTTCATAATCTTCACTCAATTGACGATATTTTATAAAACTATGTAATGCTTTCATTAAGTCACCTAAAATAATTCATATTTATCATTATTATTATGTTTTTTCTTTATGTTTTATTTAACCTCGTCGTTCATATGCTAAACCAACATTAAGATGTGCTTCAGCTGCTAATTGTGGATCAAGTTGTTGATATGTTTGAGCAACTGATAAACATTTTTCATAAAATGAATCTGAAAGCCAACGATCATCACTTTTTAAAAAATAGGATGCTAATTCAAGATAACTATGATACATATTTGAATATTGACCTTAATAAATAATTTACTTCATTTTTTCTTTAAATACTAAAAAACAAATCAGCTTACATCGTCGTTCAGCTTCTTCAGCTTTATTAAGATTTGAACAAAGAAAACGTAATTTGTCTGGTTCACCATCAAGTAATGGTCGTTGATGAAGTGGATGTTCAGCACCTAATCGTTCTCGATCTTCTTTTTGCCATGCTAATATCGCACATAATTCACGAAATGAATTATGATAACCATGTCGAAGCATATCAATTGATAATTGACGTTTTAATGAACTTCGAAATCTAGTTTAAAAAAATAAACATAAATTTCATATTAAAAATATAAGTTATTTTTATGGAAAATAGACTTTTCAGTATCTTCTTTTTGAAGTATTGATTGTTGTTCATAAGCTGTTGCAGCATTTTTTATTTGATTTAATGGAAGCTAAAAATAACAAATAGAGATTAAAAAAAAAAGAAAATGACTAATCAAATGAGTTTTATTACGAACTTTATGTTTTTCTTTATAAGTTTTACTAGGCAAAATAACATTACGATAAAATGCTGTTTGTCCTTTCGAAGAGGTTTCCTTCGATGGTTTTGTTCGATAAACTGTTGTTTCCGCTAAATATATAAAATCATATATTAAAGAAAGAGATCAACTTGGCATTTTTAACTATCATGTCGAAGGTTCTTTTTCTAAATTTGCAAATAAGTTAATCTCTATATATTATTTAGAATGACAATAGAAAATGAGATCAGAAATAGTAAAAAACAGCAGAGCGATATAATCATTTGTTTTATATAGATAGAATCAATGCTGATGCATTTGTTAAATTTTTTTATATTTTTCTAACAGATATTGATCATGAAATGGTAAGTAGGACACATTTAAATGTTGAGATTTAGTGCTAAGAGTATTCTTCCCCTTGTCTTCTGGTTCTCCGCGAAAGTACAACCGGTGGGAGCTTGCTTAAGATTTCGGCCTTTGTTCA